CCAAATACGATCCCGTCAATTTTTAGGTTTCTTTCGGTGTAAACGAATGATGATTAGACCTACTTCGGGTCACAATATAGGTCAGGCCGCGATCAGGTCGCTGGGTGTAAACGTAGCCATTATTGACTATGTTTCCATCGAGGGTTTAAATCGGGTCAGAGTCAACCAGTTAGCCAATGGTTATGCTGGTTATAACGGAATTAACCTCATTGCAATTGTAACCAGCATAGCTATTGGCTGACTTGGCTGACTCTGACCCGATTTGAACCCTCGATGGAAACATAATGCGACCCGAGTCGGGTCGCGATTTGCGGCAGCCTTCTGATTGGTCAACGCACTCTGCCGAACAGCATTGCCACATCTATTATGGATCAGCGACATATGGCTTCTGCACACAGGACGCAGAAACGCTTGCCGCGCGGCAAGAAGCGACGCGGTAGCAAATCAACGTGTTGCTTTTCCGTAAGAACCAAAAGTTTATTGGCTACCGCGTCGCTTTTTGCCGCGCGGCAAGAAGCGACACAGTAGCCAATCAACGTACCGCTTTGGTAAAAACCAAAAGTTTATTGGTTAATGTGTCGCTTCTTGCTGCGCGGCAAGCGTTTCCGTGTCAGGCTGGTTTCACATGGGGCGTAAGATGCGTATGCGTAACTTGCGTCAGCCAATCAAATCGTCTCAGTATTTAATCGTATCATACGCGTATAGTAGCTGAGATGATTTGATTGGCTCACGCAAGTTACGCATACGCATCTTACGCCCCATGTGAAACCAGCCTCATGTGTGCACGAGTCATATGTATGGATGTATATACACTATACACTTGTGTCACTTGTCGTACTAGTGCAGAAAGTTCAGCCACAGAGAACAAACCTCTCTCTTGTCAGTGATTAGATATAAATAGTTACATGGTGGATACATTTGCACTTAGATTTTAATGAAAATAATTATTTCTTTTTGGATTATAACAAAATTTTGAAAAATTATTACTTGGCACTGTGAAAAATATAATTAATCTTTAGTGTTGTTTTTAGGTTAGGTTAGATTATGAAATTTATTGTGTTTATCTGAAATTTCGACAATATATTTATTTGATTCTATTTTATAATCTTGAAAAAATACTATTTAAAAAATAAAAAATTGTTTCAACTCTTTCTCTTTCTCGCAAAAATAGTAATTAAATATTGAAAGAAAGTGGTTTACAAAAAAAGTTACAAAATCTGTTACAGAATCAGTTACAGAATATAGGAATGTAAAATAGGAAGAAAAATAACCCGAATATTTCTTAATATTTTATATCTTTGCTTCACATTGTAAGCAGAAAATAATAGATAATAAATATCGTTTTGCATAAGAAATACATAGGAAATTTCAAATCCATGTAAATTCGTGTAATTGATCATTTAATCAATTAATTTTAATCTAACCTAACTTAACTTAAAAAGCGTTTAGTCATTTTTGGCCTCCCAACCGACTTTAATAATCTTTATATCACACAAAGTGTTTAGGAATTTTATTGCCCTGATTAACAATATACAACTAACAATAATAAGTCTAAAGGTTTCCACACAATGAAAAATATAAGGAACAAGGAACAGATATTAGCAATTAGGACCAAAAGAATCAACAGTAAAGTTGGATGCACGATGAAAAATACAGGGAACAACACAGGCAATAGATTTTAAATTTATCGGAAGCCGTGTATTAATAGGTGATTTTTGGCGTGACTCTGGTATAAGCAACCAAAGGGTACCAAACTGCACCAGAACCAATAGCAACCACCGATAGCAACTTTGGTATATGTACCAAACCATACCTAACGATCGCCAAAAATCGTCTAATGCTGCACCAGCACGGGGATTCTGTAACTCCTTAACGACAGTTTCGGTATCGGTGCGCAGGTATTATATATGGTAAAAAAGCTTTATTCCTGATTTCTTATTTCTAGTTGCTAATATCTGTTCCTTGTTTCTTATATTTTTCATTGTGCGGGGGCCTTTACGGTCCTGAGGCTGTTTTTATACTGACAAGAAATACTCAAAAATCAACTCAATTTTTGCTTTTACTAAAGTGTAAACAAAATACTTGGTTGAAATACGCTGGCGGAATTGTATCTGCATCGGCTCCTTAGTTGCAAGATTATACAACTAAAGGAGGGTCGTACAGATAGAAGTCCAACATATCGGCATACCTGGGTTTCAAATTTTCTATCAGGTCGAATAAGTTCAATATAATAACATTTTACCTATTTCAATTAAATTTGAAACTATTTTATGAAGTTTGCTAATGTTAATGTTGTTATTAATGTTACCAGACTTCCCATTTCAATATTGCCCGCCGTCACTACAAGAATGTGACATCCAGTAGCGGAATAAGATTTAAAAAAACGTATATTAACATCTTACTTTAGTGCCCATATGAAGTCAACTAGTAAATATGAATACAAGAAAACAATCAAAGAGGATTAGAATGAAAAAATATGCAATAATTATAAAAAAAAATATTTTTTTAAAGATAGAGAAGTTTAATGAGCAATTGGATAATTTGTTCAAATGACAATGTTTCTCTAAGGAGTTTGGAAGCACAGTAAGAGTAACATATGATCTTAATATTGGAGAAAAAAAGAAAAAAGACATCCTTCACATCGTGAAGCGTACAACAACTTTAACTGCGATATCTAAGACTCAAGGATTTGAGATTAAAATAAGTTTCATATAATTGAGTTCTTTTGACATGAGCTTTTAATTGATTCCTGTTTTATTAAAATCCGTCAAAAGGGGTCAAAAATATTTTTTTGACCAAACTCTTTCTTAAGTTAATTAAGTTTTAACTTTTAATAATTAATTATTCTTTTTATAGTGCCAATAAATAAACGATTATAACTTATTAAACTCTGTTTTCTAACAAAAATAAATAAAATACAGGTACTTTTGATTGAATTCTAAAAAGTGACATCAAAAGTAGATAATTATAAAAATTATATTGTTGCAAATGTTCCTTATAATAACGTTCATATTAATAAAGATTATATATTAAGTGTATATAGACATATTTTATATATAAATAAAACTTGTTAATTTTATGTGATAATGAGTTTACATCAGTGTCTTATTAATACCCATATAAGAAATCATGCATACGTCTTATCAAGGCGCTATGTAAAAGGTTTAAATCGTCCCACAGCAGGAATAATTGGTTCGAATATATATAATATATAATAAGCTATATATAAATATTTAAAGCATCTATTATGTGTTCTAAGAATATATATGAATATGTATTCATAAATTTCTAGTTATTGGAGATGAAATATTAAAAGCTCAAGTAAAAGATACAAATTCACATTACATATGTAATTTATTATATAAATGTGGTATTCAAGTAAAAAAGGTAAGCAGGGAGGTATATAATATGGTAATTATATGCTTGATATTTTATACATCTTAATATGTAGAATTTATTCTTATTTATTCTTATAGTAATAATAAGTAATCTGCTTCATAGATTTCTGTTATAAGCGACGATGTTGAAGAAATTTCAAAAGAAATTAAAGATGCCTCCAACAAATACACTTATGTTATAACATCTGGTGGAATTGGGCCAACACATGATGATGTTACATATAAAGGTAAATATTGTGTATTATATAAAATATAATCAATAATTGTATAGTTTCTTAATATGTTTTAATCCATAGGTCTTGCCAAAGCTTTTAATGATAAGCTACATTATCATCCTAAATTAGTAGATATAATAAAAAATCATTTTATGATCAATGATGCTTTATCCCCTGTTTATAAGATAGCTCAAATTCCTGAAAAAGCATCTCTCAAATTTGGTTTAAATACAAACAAACCAAATAGTTTTCCATACATTACATTAGAAAACATATATGTATTTCCTGGTTCACCTGTATTTCTTGAGAAATCCTTTCAAAATTTGTATGAGGTAAATATCTTTATGATAAACTATTTTCATTAATTGTTTTAACTAAACTGTACTGGTATATACTTACTTTGTTTCAGGAATTGCTTTCTACAAACAAGAGATTTGTAAAAGAAGAGGTGTTTATTGATGCTAGAGAAGATTTATTTGCAAATGCTTTATCAACTGTAGTAAAAGAATTTCCCAATGTTTCTTTTGGTTCTTATCCAGTGAACAATTGCAGGTAATGCAGAGTTAGAAATTATACTGTAAATAATAACCATTTGTTTTATTTTTAAATATTTTCATAAATATACTGATTAATATTAAGTATTACTATAAAAAATGTAGTGTATATCTTTCATAAATTTAAATCTGCATTTTAAAAATATTTTTAATAAGCCATTTTTTTGAACACTTAGAAATAAACACAAAGTATATGTGCAGGTATTTTAAAGCATTTGTAACCATAGAAAGTGACAACGAAAATGACACTAAAAGAGCAAAACAAAGATTTTACGAACTAAATCCTGCAGATATTTTCGTAAATTTTGATCGAACGCCGCATATAAATTGTATTACCAAGTATAATAATTTTCTTCAAAATTGCTCACATCGACCGATTTATGAGCAATCTCTTGAAAAGCTTAGGTAAAAAGGATGATACATTTTACATTTTATTGTATTATATCGATATTATATTAATATTATCATATTATATATTAATTTTTATTACATTTAGACAATTTTATCAGAATCCTGAACGTGTTTTAATATATTTCGATAGTAGTATGGAATCGAGCGTTGTTATTCATCTCGCTCATATATGTAAAACTCAATTACATTCTGATAACAAATTGCAAGTGGTTTACTTCAAAAAGGAGATGCCGGTTGACATGGAAGAATTCATCAAGGAAATGGTTGACAAGTAATACAGAATAATCTATTTCTCTTAAAATTACAGTCTAAAAAATATAATCTAATTCATTGACATACATATTGACATATATTCGACATATAAATCAGTATTATGTAACAGATGTTTTGTTATATTTGGAGTAAATAAAAATTAAATTATATATTTCTTAGATATAATTTAATAATGTATACCGTGGAAACTGCAGTTGATAATAAGATAAATAAGATCGTTCAATCGCACTTACGGCCGACATTACTAATTGGAAAGGTTGAAGAGAGTGGTGAAAGTAAAATTAACTCTAATTATAACAGCATGGATAATGTGAATCAATTACAAATCGATAATCCTTTGCACAACTGGACGAAGAAAGACGTATGGACTTTTGCTTCATCGCTGTATCTACCATGTAAATTGACAGCTTAAAGAACAATGGTAAGAAGTAATTGTAATAAAGAATGGTAATTTTAAAAACTGTGATTGCAACAGGCGTATTATATGATCTGTTTTTATATTATTTTGCGTGTTATATTTTACAGCATGAATGTTGTGCGTAATGAAGAAAAATTGTAATAATATCTAATATAACAGTAAACATATGGGGCTGAACTTGTAATATATTATAGCATACACAAGATAGAAAGATTGATTGTGTCGATTGTGTGCACTAATGCCATCGCTGAGTTACAATGTGATTCTAACTCCAAATTTCAAAAATCGAAAAATGTTTTCAGATATTGTTTAATCTTTTTAAGGACAATCGCGACGCGCACCCACAAAAGCACCTTTGTATTATCTGTGTGCAGTTTTCAATATGTCCGCTCAACCATTCGAGCAATGAAACTGGAATGTATGTACATCATGGAAGAGAAAGGTATCGGCAGGATGGGAGAACTGTGGGGCGAGAGTGGGCGAGACCGAGGTATCTTTTGAGAGTGGGGGCGAACTACAAGCTCGTATTACACATTTTTCAGCTGAAGAAAGCCGACTGGTTGGAGATATGAGAGAGAACATCCAGGTTGTCTTCTTTTATTCCTTCACCATCCCTGTTCCATTCTTTTGAAATTTCATTCCGAGTTAAAGTATTCCCACTTTTATCCGTTGAAACTTTAAATTGAGAGCGAGTCGCAGTGTCGACGTGTCTTACTGTTCCGTGCTATATCGCAAGTTATTCATCCAGGCCTTTATTAAAGCTTAGACTTTTATCAACCTATCCTACATATAAGCTTATATTCTATCATTTAAGTCTTTACATGCAACGAAAGTAAAAAGATCAGTAATTTTTAACGCGTTATAAGAAAGAAGATACGTGTCGATATGCATGCTCGCACATACGCATGGACATTGTTGTATACATTGAAAAAGATGAGGAAAGAGAGGCCGGTACTAGAGATGGAAACGAAACGAAACGAACGTATATTTCCAGAACAAATATTTACGCGAAAGATGTATAAAAAGAGCGAAAATGTGTTTTCTGTTTGATTTGCGACTGTATTTTTCTTTCCGATCCAACGGTCCGCTCCTCTTCCTCCCTCGTCCAGTGCTGCCTTCACTCAGGCAACTACCCAACCTGGCCCAACCACTCACTTATTCTCGACTAGCTTTCCCCTCTTCCGCGCACTTTTTCAGTTCTTCTCGCAGATTCTTCGTGCCCGCGCCCGTGGGCGGACAGAGGGCTGAAAGAAAGAGACAATCCTGCGGACATAAATTATAGATATACATGTTTCACAAGTCTTGAACGAGTTTCAAATGAGATATATTTGGAATCGATGCTTTTTTACCTGCCAAAAAATACGGCGTTATTTTCATTTTCTGCACAATTCGTCATTCTCGTCTCAATTTTCGCTTCAATCTATTTTGGTTTTCTATTTATTCAGATCAGAATGCTCCTATATTTCTTGTTACTTTTGCACCTAATTGTGAGAGCGAGGTCTAATCTTGGATTTTGTCGCGATCCTCCTCGCGCTTTTCCAAGTACGATATTTATTATTATACATTAATTTCTCATCTATCTCGTAGATCAGCAAAAATAAAAATTTAAACTAATAGCTATATTTCCAATATCTCGACAATACGCGAATTAAATATCTTGGTGTTATTTACGATACTTACAATATTCCAAATGTGAAGATTTTTCTTAGAATATCAGCGATGCTGAACAATTGATCCTAGTAAATAAGCTTTACACACGATATGGAGAACGTAAAAGTTTAGATTTCATAAATTCCGTGATATGCCCGTATTGACTATTTATCAAAAGTTAGCATATATGTCATGATGAAAAATGTGGGACATTTTATTGTTATACAATGACAAATTACCAGAAGAAAAGAAATCACGAATTCTTTTCTTATATAGATTTCCTATTTTATATATATATATATATATATATCGCAGACATCACACCATATATATACATCAAACCAATTGAATAGATAACAACTTATGATATCAAGCCAATTACATTAATAATTAATTTTCCCAAAAAATTTACACTAAAGTAATATAGGTAATAATTGACATGTATTATTTATAAGCCGTTTCTAGATAATTCAGTAGGTACAATAATGACCTGTTTTCAGATAAGTTCTGGATGTCAGGTTCTCTCTCTCTCTCTCTCTCTCTCTATCTATCTCCTCCCCAATTGCAATTAAACACAGTTACATAGTTTGCAAAATTATATAAAAATCAGCAACAATAATAGGATGAAACTGAAATAAAAAATATTTCACAAAATATAAGATATACATTATATATAATCGCAGTTTATAAAATATACATTAATCAGTACTAAGTCTTAATCTGAATTTCTACTATTTACATTCACTCTTTATCTAAATCGATCATCTATTTTCTTAAATTTTACAGTTTAAATAAACTGTTAAAGTTTAAAACAGTATCAAAAGATACGATAGTGTCTCGCGCCATCAAGTATTATATACGCGCAGCGAGATTGTTAATGCATATATGACATTTGTATAATATTATATCTTTTTTCCACAATTTAAAATCGCTTGACTTTAAATGATATATGTTATGTCCAAAAATTCCGAGATAATGATCTATCATGATAAGAGATTGATGAATAAAAATCACAATTAAATATGATTAATTATTATATCGAAGACTTATGGAGCACTAGTTGGATAAATGTCTGCAAGTTTAAGTGACTTTTGTTTAACAGCTTGTTGAAGATATTTTATAACACGCAAACGAAAAATTTGTACACTTTCAGAAAAGATTTCTAGATACAATACTATTAGGATCGAAATAGGGCCAATCATATTTAATATTGAAAGAAGAATATTTTAATCTTAAATAGAGGAATTCTTAAATCTAGAATAAAATAATCTTGATGCTATCCCTCTAATTTTCTCAGAATTATTCTAGATTTAAGATTAAAATATTCTTCTTTCAATACAAAATATGATTGGCTCTATTTCGATCCTAATAGTATTGTATCTAGAAATCTTTTCTGTGGCTGTACGGACACAAAGATTTTCGTTGGGATGATTAATAAAAGAGTGCATGATTGACGCGAGGGTTGTAGCGGTCCGAGTCAAGTCGGAGGGTTGGTAAGCTGTCGCGTGCCACGCTGTTATCGATTTCTTTCTGCCGCTCTCATTTCCTTTTTCTATCTAATCTTTCTACCGACCTATCTTCCTTTTCCACTTAAGCACATGTTATTGCTGCTCGTCTCTGCGTAATCCAATCATTTTCTTTGCACGCAATACTTCATGCATAACTTTTCAGTTACTAATTATTAATAATTCTATTCAATAATGTGATTATTGTTAGAATATATAAAAGTAATAGGTTTAGTTATTAAAAGTAAAGTTTTAAATTTTTGGTAGAAATATATATGTCTATAAAAAAATTGCTTAACATAATGTTTTATATGTGTGTGTATATACATATGTATAAATATATATGTGCGCGCGCGTGATTATCAATATACATTTAGCAAAAACTTGAAATATTATTATTCAAACGTTTTTATTTTCCCTAACTTTACCCCCAACTTAATATATATATTTTATAATAAATATAAATTTATATAAATATCTTAAATATAATTTATTAAATATTTTAAACACATTCTTTTTTGGAGTCTGTGAAACATATTGGAATATATTGCAAAAAATATTTTGATGTATATAAAAAATATTAAGATAAATTGATCAATTCTGATTTTTGTCTTATTTTTATTACCGCCTTTGTATGTGCGTGCGTGCGTGCGTGCGTGTGTGCGCGCGTGTGTGTGTGTGTGTGTGTGTGTGTGCGTGTGTGTGTGTGCGTGTGTGTGTGTGTGTGTGTGTGTGTGTGTGTGTGTGTGTGTGTGTGTGTGTGTGTGTGTGTGTGTGTGTGTGTGTGTGTGTGTCACATTTGAAAACTAGCAGTGGAATAACATTATTTATTGCAAAGTTATATTAAGAACTACATATACTTAAAGCTCCTGTTCACTCACTGTAGCCATCTTGAATTAATATGACGTCAGAACCAAGAAAATATATTATAAAAATTCTTGCAACGTATATTAAAATAAAAATGTTTTTCGATAAATAGCATTTGTAATCAATAGAATAGACTTGTAAAATAAATCGGAAATTCCTCTTTTGCTTGGGTAATCAATTATGAATAATCCACATATGTCGAATTGAGTTGTGCCTAGTCAAGAATAAAAACAAGCTTTGAGAGCCGAATGGAAATAAAAATATTTGTTTTCACATATTAAATTACAACAAAATGGAAGTCTTCGGTATATGCTAACACACTATGACATTTATTTTAAATATAAAAACACTACAACGAAACAAACATAAAACGAAAAATGACGCTGTAGGTTGCAAAAATAGTTTAGCTTTTTAACGTTATTTTTCGTGTCTAGTTTACAATTTTGCCAAGTGTGACGCTGAGTGTCAACGCAGACTTGTCAATCGAGCCAGCATCAGGAGCCTTAATTTAGATATTAAAATTTAGATATTAAAAGACGATCGATTCTTGTGATTACACGATATTTCATGCCAATGCTTGTCATTAAATCGTTCAATCAGGATTGATCATCTTAAAATTTATATTTATATGTAAATTTAATTTAATCCATTTATCGAGAAGCATATAAAAATATGAAAAGTGACTTCATTGTCCAAACACAGGCAGTAAAGATTCCGGAACGTTCATTCGGAAATGGAAGAAAGACACGACAACGTTGGAAAAAAAGCGAGAGAGAAAGACATTGAGGAGAACAAAAGATCCAGGTCAGGGGTGGTGGTCGTTGCGAGCGGCGGCGCGGGCGGTGAGGCAGCGAGGCGAGACGAAGCGAGACGAGCGAGGTACGACGGTGGCGACGACGGTCGCGTGCTGGTCGCGTGCCGGAGGCGGAGCCAAGCTCTACCGCTCCGCGTGCCACCCCCAACTCTACAACCTGCGATCCTTTGCCCCGCCACTACACCCTCTGGTGCGCTCCCTCGTCGGTTATTGATTCCCCCGGGTAGCTACCCCCTATGGGGTGCTAAAGTGGAATGAGTAGGACGCGGTGGCTAGAGATGAAGTGGCACACTCCGAGAGAGTACGGAAACAACGGGACGTCTTGAAATTGCAACAACTAGTCGTGGTGATTACTTTTTTTAGTATCTTTTCTTCATATTTTTCTCTTAATTTTTTATTTTATGATAAAGAGACATTTTTTTGCATACAATAAAGAGAAAATTATACTGAATCTTAATTTTGTATAGTTTTGAATTAAGTTAAGTTGTTAGATTGTTGAGTTTTTGTTACTTTCATTTATCTGTAAGAAATTTACTTGTTCGTGTCTTATATTGCATATTATAAAAAAGTTTCTTTATCTGCAAACATGACTGACGATTTTATAGCAGTAAACGCGAAATTCTACGATTCAGAATTAACGATAGAAAGAAGACAGTTGAGTAAACGTATTACTTAAATGTATGATATTGTTGTGCAATTTTGAAATGACCTAGATTTTTCCAATCCTCTTCTGGATCAGGGCCAATAACGATAAAGTTATGTATACTACAAACAATATAAGGAAATGGAGGAAAAAGGAACAGCACATGGTAGACCTTTAAATACTTTTTAAGCAGTGGAGCAGGGTTTGATTATAATTAAACAATATTTAAATTTATGAATATTTCAATAAAATCTAAGGAAAAATATATTTTAATGTATATATTTTAATATATGTTAATGTCCACTATTATCTGGATATTTTCAATACAGAATGTTTGATCTCTTGATTAATTAATTTCTTTCTTTGCTTGGTTTATTTCCGAATAAATAAATATATGTTTAAAAAAAGTAAAGAAAGTAGGAAACATGCTTTGGAAGAGATGAAAGAATAGCAATAAAGTAAAATACGCTCAAAGAGAATTGTGCGTTGATGAACGGGTGGAGATAGAATGAAGTTGCGAAAAGGGGTGAGCATGAAAAGAAGGTCCTTGACGCGGCGGAGACTGTGGCGAGCGGTTAGGAAAAATACCGCAATAAGCGAAAAGAGAATATCAAAAGAAAGAGAGAGATGAGAACGAAAAAACGAGAAAGCGATAAGTAAAAGAATGGGGACAGATACAAAGATATGTACGTATTTATAGATAGGAGAAAAGAATAAGATAGAGTAAGTAGGTAGATAGTTATGATAAGAGTGAGATGGAAAAGAAGATGAATTAATAAAGGATTTATTTGTTAAAGGTGATTAAAGTGAATAGAGAAGTGCAATAGCTATACGAATGATGGAAAACTGTTGTCTGTAGCTTTATAACTCTTAGAAAACGCGCACAAACTTTTATAATTATTAATCTTTCCGTTTCATATCCATTACAACCGTTCCACTGTTATATGCCTTTTCAAAATAATTATCCACACAATCCGCACGAAACAAGGCGATTATTCCGATGGATGAAGAAAACATGACTGATTTCAGATTTTCAATCAATCAAATATTTGTCATTGAATCTGTCTCTTTGTTAGACTAATTTTAATAGCAGAATGCATTGACTCACATTAAATTGATTAAGAATCTTAACAATAAGTGGTAAAAATTATTGAATAATCGATGAACACACGAATAATTCACATGATTATAATATATTAATCTGATGATTATAATATATTAATCTGACGACGACGACGACGACGACGACGACGACGACGACGACGACGACGACGACG